CCTGTCTTTCCTTCCCTCCCTTCCTCTCCTCGCCTTCCTCCAAATTAGCGCAGTATGTAAGAGAAAGACTCGTGCTGTTGGTTTGCAGCAGCGTGACTGTCAAGGCTCGTGTACATACATGAAAGGCAATGGCTGATTTTCTCTGTTGATGATGTCTGTCACTCGGGACTGAGACAAAGCCCCCTGTAGTCTTGACACATCCTGGCTTCCTTCATTGCAAGAGCTCTCCTTGGGAACAGAGCTCATTTCAACACGTGCTTTTGCTTTTACATCCGTGAGCTTACTGAAGGCTGTGGGCTTGTTTTAGAAAGCACTGTTAGTCTGAAGACAGATTAAATGCGGTATTCAGTAAGGTACATGTAGTACCATACATAATTTCAAAGTGTGTTGGATTTTTTTCCCCTGTTCCTTTAGGGAAAAAAAAATGATGCGATCGTGTCTTACAAACTTAGTGGTGTCTGGCAAAGTCTTGGTGAGATGTCAGGTTATGCTGAAGTAATGTCTCGAAGGAGCAGGTCTCCAGCTTCCCAGTTTCGCAGCAGTATGTGTGTGAGAACGCTAGCCCCGAGTGTGGTAGCATACATTTTCTGGTGTACCGTACAGAGGTGGACATAGTGCTGCCCCTGTTAGGGGAAAGGCATCTCAGATCATAACGAAATACTTATTCTTGGCTTCCGGCTCAGAGGGTTGCTAGTTTCTGTTTCACTAAATGACTGGAGCAAGCATTTCTTTTCTGGCAATGAGTCCAGTGAGCTTTTCCCTTCAAGCCTGTGAAGATGCGTCTCGTGTCTACATAGCAGTTTAATGGGTGTCTGAAATAGCTGAGGTTTCTTAAAGCAAATGGCAAAAGATGTGGGATAGTGCTATGCTAGCACCTCTCAATTAGCAGGGTCTTATGCAGCCCTTCTCCTGGAGGCCAAGTCCTTGGCTGGAGGAAGCCTCTAGGGCTGTGCTGTGAGGGGAATCTGGGGCTGAGACTGTGTAGTCTGGGGGAACTTGGTGACCTGAGCTCTTCTTGCTTTGCTGACGAACTGAGAAAAAATAGGCTAGCAATTCACTTTACAAGTCTCTTAAGCTATTGTAAGAGTTTATGGGAGCTCATTATGCAATAAATTATAGATATAAAATAGCAGGTGGCACATCTTTCAAGCAGTATGCATGAAAATTCGTCTCGACAAGATTAGGAAAACAGCCCCCAGACCTATCTTCACTGAGCAACTACAAAGCAAGGAAGCTGTAGTTAAGAGAGATGTGGCGTTGATGGCATGTCTCTGCTGGCGAGCAGGGCAGAATCACACAACCACATAAGCTCGGGGCTTGGAAGGGACTTCAAGAGATAGAGTCCACCCTCCCTGCTAAAGCAGGTACCCTGCAGTAGGTCGCACAGGGAAGCATGTAGCCAGGTGTTGAATATCTCTGTGGAAGGAGGCCCACCCTCTCTCTGGGCATCCTGCTCAGTGCTCCACCACCCTTACTGTAAACAAGTTCTTCAGCACATTTGTATGCAACCTCCCACGTTCAATTTTGAGGCCATTGCTCCTCGTCCTATCGCTGCCCACCACCGAGAAGAGCCTGGCCTCACCCATCTGCCTCCCACCTCACTTTTTATATTTATTAACATTAATCAGATCAAGGGGGGATCTGATCTTTTCCCCACGCTGGACAGACCCAGGTTACTCAGTCTTTTCTCATACGGGAGGTGCTCCAGGCCCCAGTTCATTTTTGTGGCCCTTTGCTCAACAGTAATTGTTAGCAGAATGATTTCTTTCCTGCTAGTTAGAACATCATATGCAGTATTGGAGACACCATTTGTAAAACCCAGACACCGTATATTTTCATCAAATGTAGCAATTGTCTCCATCTCTGAGGCTCCTGAAACATAAACCCCCTCAGGGTCCTAGCCGGGCTGCTGTGTGCAAGCTGTGAAAATATTGATGCACTCATTTTATCCTTTGCCTTCCTTGTCCTTCTCTTTCCTTTCTTTATTCCTTACTGGCAGACACTAGCATAGCCAAGTTATTTCTGCGCCAAGATGAGGAAACTTTCCTCCTCAGCCAACTGTGCTGACACTGCTAACCTTGATTTCCATAAATGATTGAACAGTGTCTCCTGTCTGCAGCATATTTCAGGCTCCACTTACCCGAGGTTCTTGGAGAAAAGCTTAGAGAGCTTTTAATCTTTCCCATCTCTGCCTCCCCATCAGCTTTGGTTCTGACTGTCTGCTCCTCTGTGGCCGTGAGCTGCCCCGACCAGCAGCAGCAGTGCTGGGATGCTTTTCTCTGCAAAATGACTTTTTCCGAGTTGTAGGGTTTTGACATTTATTTTAACAGACTGAAAAAATTGATGTGGATTAGTATAGTGGAAAGGAGATTTCTGTGGTTGTTGGACAAGCAGTGCTACTTAAACTGTGGGAATTAGGAAGCGTTAAGAGTAATCTGGTCTTTTGTAACACAGAAGCAATTAATTAGCATTTAGAATAAATAAATTTGGGATGACATTGCTCATTTTTGCAGCGTTAAAACTTTTTACAGGCCTGCTGGGTACAAGAGGGACGTTTCTATTATTTGAAGGCTCTGCTGCTGGGAGGAAAACATTAAGGGAAAGGAAGAGAGTATTCTAAAAGGAAAAAGCTACGTGGAAACCTTTGGTGCTAATGGATCAGATCCATTTGGAGCCGTAGTGTTTGCAGACTGTCGTGTATAATGCATTATTGCGCAAAACACAAAATGCTTAAAAGTAATTTGTGGCAATTTAGGTTTTATCATTGCTTGCACGCTGCTCTGGGGGAATGAGGAGCAAAAGACAAGCTCCCAGACGGGAGAGTTAATAGCTCTAGAAGTGCTGCTCTGCAGGCAGCTGAGTGAAGCTGATGACTCCAAGGCAGAGCTGGGCCTTGGGCAGAGGGGCTGGAATGGAAGCACTGTACCTTGCTGAGGGGTGGAGTTAGAACAGCGCAGGGAAAGTATATGCTTAGTCCTCATCACAGTAACTGCGTGGTAGGTAGGTCATGTGGCAGTCTTTGGAAAAGACCCCTAAACTGGAAGGGGGAGAAATATCACATAATCACAAAATAGTTTGAGTTGGAAGGGATCCCTAAAGATCTTATGGCCCAACTCCTCTGCAGTGGACAGGGCCATGTACAGCTCCATCACGTTGCTTAAAGCGTAGTCCAGCCTGACCTTGAATGTCACCAGGGATGGGGCACCCACGTCTCTGAGCAAGACAGGTGCTTCATTCTTTTGAATAAATAGAAAGACCAAAAGGTCTCCTCTGCAGCTTCTTATTAGCAGTGAAATGCAGCTCACCTGTTTTGGGCCACGTCCCTCTGGAAAGCCAGCGTTCAGAGCAGACTAGGTGCCATCCCCTGCAGTGCTGAAACTGGTGGGCCAGTACGTCCCTTCATCACAGCACAAGCCTGCCAGTTTAAGTGCGTTCCTCACTGAGACAAATTCTTTGTGGATTTTTGCCCGAGGCAAGAGGAACAAAAACAAAATTATAGGTGTACATACACACAAAAAGGAAGCTTTTCTAATGCATTCTGCGCTGTGATTACTAGGAGATGCTCAGAGAAAGTCAAGAACTCCGTTCATAGTAGTGGGACCAGATTCTTACAGGCACTTAAATGCTAGCTTCTTGCATTCTAGATAAATGCTTTGAGTCTGGAGCTGCCAGCTCTGCCCTGTGGGTGGTTGTCCCTCCTGTTTCCTTGGGGGAGGCTCTCTGAAATGTCTCATTTTCGTCCTGGTCAGGAGGAGGTGGGATTGCTGATTGCTGATGCAGCCCGTCCCCAGCAAATTCCTGGGACAGAAAAATGCTTCCCACTTTGGCAGGCTGTATTTTGACTGTTTGGTATATTTGATATTCAGCTGCAGGCTAAAATCACATTTATTGTGTTAGACCTTCAGCAGAGAGTTGATTGAGGTTTCAGTTCGGGCAACTGGAGTATGTGTTCAATGCTGATGATAAATGAGCGTGTGTAAGTACGGAGTTATTTTTGTTTATTCCTTAAAATGCTGTCTGGTAACCTGGGCTGCCTGCTGCAGGTGTGTCAGTGCTGAATGCTGTTGCCCCAGGTTTAACTCTCCCAGGAGCCACCTTTTTGGGCATGCTGCACAGCGTTGTTTGTACGGGTGACACATGGGAGGGCTGCTAGGACACAGAGTGCTGAACGCTCAGCTGTCCAGAACATCGATCTTTCTGCTAGCTTAATTAGCTTATTTTAACATTCCTCTTTATCCTGTGGGGGTTAGAACTGATGGGAGCTGGAGCTGCGGTTCCTACAGCTTGTTTCATGTCACTAATTATTGCCTGTAAGGGGATGGTACACTCTGCTGACAGCCTCTGCAGCGTGTTGGAGCAGTCGCTCTCCCTTCATTCGCTGTCAGAACTGTCTGAAACCTTCCCCTTCAAAGCAGCAGAATCGTTCAGTTCTTGCTGGGTGTTGCTTGGGCAAACTGGTGGAGCACTGCAGCTAGCACAGCCCTGCAACAGCATCGTGGTGCAGGCAAGCAGATCCAGTCCATGTGAAAGAAGGAGAGTCTGACTAAAATCACTGAAGTTAAAAGCAAATGAGAGGCAGCCTTAAAGACAGGTGGTACCAGCAGCCCCCATCATACACCTTTCTTCCTGACAGTGGCCATTTCAGTGCCAGACTGCTGTTTGCATCCATACTATCCATAGTATTTGTCCAGTGTACTCTGGTGAAAAATTTGCAATAGGGAGAGGATGTGTAGGCAGGACACACAGAAGAGCCTGTTTGAACAGACTGGTTGCTGTTACTGCCCAAGCATTTCTCACAGAATGAAAGGCATCACAAGAGGAGGTTAGCAGTGTCTGTGGTGTAACCTCTGCTATTTAACGTGGGTCAAGGGGGGAAGGCTTCAGACCCCCTGCTGTAGAATTATGTAGCATCTCAATCCTTACAGTGTTGAGTTTGTGCTAAGCTACCTGAACAGGGACTAAATAGAGTGTGTATCTCTCTCTATTTTTTTTTTTTATAGGAACAGAGAGTTTTCCTTGTTTAACAACCACACAGAGCACCCTATCATCTGCTTGAACAGGTATGACCTTTTTTCTTGCTAGAATAGTTCCACAAGGAGGCTGCTTTACCTGGCTTTGAGAATTGAGAACAGAGCAAGAACACTTCTCTAACTCCTGGAACACTTCATTTTTCTGGGGTTAGTTCCCACTTTCCCACTTGTGTTTATGTGTTTTTGTTTTAGTTCCTGCCTTGTTTTTTTTTTTTATTTTCAAAGCTTCTTGTGTCTGATGGGAGCCACTGTGCCCATTGCCTATGGAGCTGTCTTCCAGGTTTGGTTAGCAAGGACCTGCTTACAGCTCAGGGTGGAGACAGTGTTAAGGTGGTGTTGATACTGAAGGAGAGCACCTAGAAGAGGTGACGGTGCTGCTTGCATGCAGCTCTGGTTCAGCATGCCCTGTGCTGAGCTGTGCCACTGAAAATTTGGAAAGAGTTTGGCAGAGCAGTGATAAGCTAGTACTGCTCTGTCTTCAGAATTGAAAATGGTTGTGTTAGATCTGAGAAATGAACTTTTTCTCTTCTTTGGAAGAAAGAAATCTTTCAAGAGAGCCCATCTCAGACAATTGAAAACTCTCTATGACACTTGAAGCCAAGTTTTATAGGGAATCTGCGTGGCCTTTGCTGTACTGATGAGCACATACTTGCTTTACCACTGTTTCTTCATAGGTATTCATTGATTTAACTTACAGATAGACATAGTTACTTTTCACTCAAGCACAAGTTTGAAATGCTGAAGACAGGATTTTGAACTTCGGGATATAAGAGTGGAGGCTGGGGGAGAAAGCAGTTAATGGTGACTGATATTCATCAAAGTGGGCAGTCCATTCTGGACCCTGTTTTACTGAAGTTATGCAAGGTGCTGTTTTTTGATGAGGGCCGTGTGTGCCAGCCTCTCCTGTCCTGAGGGATGTGCTGCTGGAGAGGGGACGCAGGCTTCTCCCACCCTACGTGCATTTGCGCTTGCTTTAGACACATTCTAACCCTAAACATCCCGGGGGGTTTTCTGGTGGCAGCAATGTGCCTGAGGATGTGCCAGCACTTGGGAAAGGAACACTCAGCTCCTGGCATGCCCTGGGGCAGCACGGCGCTGCTTGTACTGATCCTGTGTGCTTCAGGAATTTTCCCATGGCCCCGAAGTACCCTTGCAGCCATGAGCAAGTACGAAATGGAGGATTAAATTAGCTGTGTAGATTTAAAGTAACGGGATGTTTCATTGCGGTCACCATTTCTTTGCTGGTGATAAAATTCTCAGACATCTGCTTCGCTAGGCTTAAGCAGTCTGTGCATGCCTCTTATTTAACTGATTGGTCTGAATTATTACTCTGAAATATGGAAAAGATGGTGGAGCACCCCATAGCCTCTTGGTGCTGCTCAGGTGTTTTAAGAAGAGGGCAAGTGGGTTTGAAATGAAAGAGAAGGAAAGGCTTGTTCATCAGAACTAGGTTTTTCTGTGCAGGTTCACTGCATCAGTGATGGCATGATAATATCTCATGAGCATGAGCTGTCCTTTGTCCCTATAAAGACAAAAACCACCCACTTTACACTAGCTTTCACTAGTAAAAATAATGAGCAGCAAGTGGGTGATGGGGAAAGCTTTGATAAAGGAGGTCAGGGCTCAGGGAAAGGAGCTTGTCCCAGTGCATCCTGTGCAAGGGCATCACCTGGGCTGGGCTTGGGTGGGCAGGGGAAGTGACACAATCAGCAGGGTGGCACAGAGGGCTGCAGAAGGGTGACAGAAATCACATTGCAGAGCTGTGATGTCAGTGTAGCCTGTTCCTAACATTTAGAGCTGGAAGCTTGGCTTCAAAAGCAATATGGCTCTGTGATGGTGCTATGTTGATATGTTTATGGACAGCGTGGGACCAAGGTGGACCTGCAGCATGCTCAGAGAGAACGCTTGTGCCCCTGCTGGCTCTGCTTTCTCTTCTCCCACGCTGTTGGCTTGCATATCTCCTGCTTGGCACTGGGAGAGCTGCAAGGAGGCATCTCCACTAAGCAACTGTGGAAGGGTTGAATAAGGCTCTTGGCACAGCCGGTCTCATTTCCAGCATGGCATCCAGCCCTTCTTCAGCAGCAGCCAGTCTTTTAAAAGTAGTCTCCTACTGACCAGTGGGCTGTTCTGCAACTGCACTGTGAGCTAGAAACCTCTCCCTAGCTTCCAGCTGAAATTTGTCAATGGCACAAAACCAGCCTTCGTGGTTTTTTTTTTTTTTTTTTTTCACCTCCATGTTTATCCTTTGTCACCATTCTACTTTTTTCTTGCTTTGAAGGCAGTGCTGTTATTGATTGTATAATCAACCTGCCTCTTTTCTCCTTTCTTGTGATCTTAATAGTCATTTTTTGCTCTCTCCTTTGAAAACGCCTGTTTTGAACAAAAGGCAGAACAGCAGAACCGACTTACTTGTATTTATCTGCTATCATCAGCATTTGCTGCATTTTGAAAGACCTCAGGCATGGTTGTTAAGCAATGGAAAGGAAGGAGAATGTCCCCTGTCACTGGTAAATCGTGATGATGATGGTGCTGGTGTTAGTAATAATGCTACCTTTCAGGCTGAGTCACTAGTAGGTGCTTCAAACCTGTTTACAGCCCAAAAGCAAGATTGTTCGGGGAGGAACTGACAGGCAGAGATGACATGACTTGCTGCAGCTTTTGGTAAGCAGCACACCAGCTCTGTGGGCCCGGAGGTGGGCCAGAGAGCCTGGGGGAGAAGGGAAAAATGTCTTCCTTACTTTCCCCTGCAAAATGCTGAACAGTGACGGGTTGGTTTGCGGGACGAGGTTGGTGAGGAAGGGAAGCTGGACTGTTCTGTGCACTGCAGCTCATGCTCAGTGCTTTTGTGATGATCAGCAGCTGGCACCAGCACTAGGCCTTCGCACTGCTGTGCCATATTTCAGAGGAGCAAAAAATAAGGAAGGTGAGCTGGTGTATCTAGCTCACATGGAAACTTAGGAGCAGTTGAGAAGCATATTTTCTTTTGCCTCTCTGGCTCTAAAGTCAACATAGTGCTTCCTGCAGCTCAAGAAGCGGTCCAATGTGTTAATGTTGAATTTTCACATAGCTTCCTAGTGTTGAGTTCCATGGAAGTCTTCCATGAAGTGCCTGGCTGTGGCTGGTGGCAGGGCTGGGGTTGGAAGTCACTGCTGCCTGCCACACCATCGTGGAAAAAATGATCCCACTCCAAGAGGAGAGCTTTGAGCGTCTTTGTAGCACAAGTCATCGGCTGCTTCAGCAGTCCTGGCCCCTGTGGGCTCAGTGCTGGAAAACCTGATGCCCAGAGGTAGGGCTGAGTTATTGGGCGTAAGCAGTGATGTTAGTAAATACGCTTCTGAAAAGAGGCAGTGGGAGTAATGGCAGTGCTGTGAGCGTTCTGGCACGTGAGGGGTTTGTGAGTGGCGCGGATTCGTTTGTGTTGAGGAGTGAAGCTTATGAGAAGAACAGATGTTTGAATCATAATGTTCTTTCCAGCACAGCTGATGAAAGAAAACTCCTCATAATCGTGACCAGAAACTATTCTAGTTATCATCCTTAAGATGAGTCATTTTTTTCCCTCCTTTCTAACCCCTCTGAGACTCGGGTTCCTTCTGAAGCAGGAAGTTATGAATCAGTCCGTTCTCTGACTCTGACACGCTGGGCAGCTGGAAGAATTGCATAGGGAGTGGGATAACAGTGCAGGAACCATGCTCTGCTGGGGGCTTCTCGTGTAAAGGGAAAGCTTGACATTAGAGAGACAGCTTGTTCTCGTCTTTGTTTTCCAAATCATCTTCAAATTTGTTATCAGAAGGCTCCAGGACATTTCTGTAATAAAACTGGCAGTTTGCCTGTTTGGCCTTTTGCTGTGTTTGTGTGCGATGTGTGGGGATCTCAAGGTGCTCAATCAACAACCCTTTCTTATCAATTAGTTGATAACGTTACCCCTACCTATGTCTGTAAGAGTCCTCTGTAGCATGCTGCATCCTCCTTTCAGTTAAAACCTTTTTGTGCAAAAAATTTTTTTCCTTGCATATACAATTACATAATTTTGCTGTGAGAAACTGTAAGAACACAGAAGGAGTCTGCTTCCACTTTATGAATGGAATGAAAACAGAATTAGACACAGCAGGATCAAGTCTAGGGTTAATGGCAGTGTGCCTGGGAGCGAGCTACTGTGTGCAACAGTTTTTGCTGTGACTCTTGTTAACGCTCTGCGATTCAGTGCTCTAAGCACCATAATATTAGTAACTAGGTGTCCAAGTCTGCCTTAGATCACTGTTGTGTTAGATGCTGTGTGCTCCAACAGTGGAGTTAATTCCAGAGCCCAGAGAGCTTACACTCAGACGTAGGAAGAGAGACAGAGATGTGAGAAGCAGGCAACATGCTGGTGAGACCATGTTTGCTGGTGTAATTACCAGCTGAGAGACCCTGTAGTTCACGCTGGGAAATCGTAGATGGAAATCAGTACTCATGTGTTGCAGCTCACTTGGGACATAGCAGCGTGAAAACACATACATTATGCAGCTAGCTAGGGATTTAATTCTGTTTTACTTGTGGGTTGTTTTTTTTGTTTTCCTTCTTAAAATCCAGTGTATTGAGAGTTAGGAAATACACAGCACCGTTCTGTCTCTCTGCGGTTTAGCATGTTTTCCATTAGGAATATGTTTTTCTCATTCAGTGACAGTTCAGTTACTAATGCAGCTCCACGTTCTACGTATTGACCAATGCAGCAGATAACTGAAATGGACAAAATGGTTCAGCTCCATTAAAAATTAAGCTGAAGGTTTGCCCCAAATGGAATCAGACGCCATCCCCTCTTTTTCCCCAAGTGCAGAATTTAGACGTTTTATTTCAACTAGCAGTAGAAATAGCAAATGAAACCAAGATAAGCTTTTTTTAATTTTTTTTTCTGACTTGAACAATGTAAGGAAGATCTGGTAAAGCATTCCTTCTGCACCTTGAATGTTTCTATACCTTTCAGAGGAAATCTACTTTGAAATGCTTGGCGTTGAGTCTTCGTACTGATTTGAGTTCAGTTGAAATGATTGGTG